ATGGAGCACACAGAAGATAAGGGGTTAGGTTATCTCAGGAAGTGCATTGTTTCATTGCTACACTGTGTGTTATTTTACAAACTTTTTTTAGTATTTGGCTTTTCTTCTACTTGGGCTTAATTCATAAACTTCCCATTAGTGTAATTTAGCATGAAAATGAAGGACTAGTTTGTAAGAGGAAATGTGTATTCTGAGTTACAGGGTGCTTTTGAATTCATGGTTTTGTAATACATACTGGTTTTATATTAAACTTTCAAATGAATTAGTCAATTCTCTGAGCGCTTACTATTTGAAATTCACTTGAAAAGAAAAATTATAGCTTCCAAGACAAGAATTTCAAAGGTACCTATTATTTATGAAACAGTAATTTTTCCAGCATAAGCACCAACTTTTCTAAATAATTTTTAATCATATGATTTGTGTCTTTAATAGATATTTGATGACTTGTAGTCATTAGTGTGCTTGAGGTAAAACATCCATTTTTTAAAGTGCCAAAACACACAGATGAAGGACTGTGACAGTTCTTTTGGAAAATCAGCAGTTTAAAAGAAAAACGACAAATAACTCACTGAAAAATAGTGTATAGTCATCTTCTCCCCCTCCCATCACAAGCATTTTTTCTCCTTTATTAAAACACCTCTGCTTAATTGAAGATGTACCTATAGACCTGCTGCTGGCTCATGGCTGAGGCCAGGAGCTTTGACTCCTGAGCTCTGCCAGTTGCAGGCAGGGAGGTGTAGGCTGTAACCTCCCTTTCCCAATACTTTTGTGCCTACAGAAGAGGCAGCTGAACCACATGCTCATCTCAGAGTGGCTGCAGTTCACCACCCAGTGTATTCCCAGCTAGTCAGAGCAACCTAAAACAACGCACTGGGCCATCATCTGCCCTGTGTTAGGACACGCAAATCAGCAGAGCACGTAGGAGTGCTCTCAGGTCAGGAGGGAGACACCTCGTACCCCCATGCAATGTCATTTGGTGGCTCTTCTCCAAGAACACTTCTGATAATCCAGCAGGTCCAGAAGAGGCCTTGTCAACTGTTTGCGAACAACAGTTTTTACCAAAAAAAGAAAAGCACCTCGAGGAATTAGGTCCTGTGTAATTAGGTCCATGTAGGATTTTCTCCACCAGGAAAAGAAAGGTAAGTTAAATGGATGCAGAGGGATCATCTTCATCATGAATTACTATTCTTAATAATAAACTTTTAAAAAGGCAAATTCACTGCTTTAACTCATTTTGCTTCAAAAATCTAAAACACATGCATGAGCTTAGATGTCGCATACAGTGTTAGCTAGATACAGTGGCAGAGATAGAGAATGAATGAAGTCTCTGAATTTCCCGATTCAATTATTTTAATGAAGAACCGTAATCCTTTCTCTTCACCTGTTCCTTTCCCTCCCTCTCTAAATGGGAAGAGAACTCTGTTAGAAATGGTATTTTTTTTTATGTGTTTTTTTGCCAGCACTGTATGTCCATCTGGATTGACCAAGAAAATGCATTTTCACATTCAGTCCAGAGTAGGGAGGTTTCCTCTTTCCAATCTGCAGTTCACTCTTTCTGCTCTTGTTTTTCCAGGATTCAGGACAAGTCATTCCTCTCATCGTGGAAAGCTGTATCAGATTTATCAATTTATACGGTAAGCTCTGAAACACACTATGTTGTTTCATTATTGCCCTGACTTCTTTGTGTATCTTTTGCATAATACATTTACCACCACAACTTTGTTTTTAAAATAGAGATTAAAAGTATTTTAAAAACTAGATTCATTTCTCACCACTGTCTCCCATCTTTGCTGCAGGTCTTCAGCATCAGGGAATTTTCAGAGTGTCTGGTTCCCAGGTGGAAGTCAATGATATTAAAAATTCATTTGAGAGAGGTAATTGCATTTTCATTTATTCGAGCACCTTAATATCTGACATTTAAAAAATCTTTTAAATTCTAATTACTTTCTTGGCTGTTTAAGCAGTTTGTATGCACTTTGTGTACTGCACCTAAAACTTTGCATCGTCATATGCTTAAAGATGAAGTATAATGATGACATGTACATGTTTTTCTCCCGTTATGTCCTAGGAACTTGAGGTTATTTTTCATTTTGTTTAGACAAGGCATATGACTCTTGAATCAACTGTAAACTTTAATCTTTTGCGAATGATAAACTGTAAATAATAGTTTGTCTATATTTTATTTTAAAGATCCTCAGAAAGGAAAGATTATGGTTTTTTATTAGATTCAAGAGACTACTTAATGCAATTTGAGAACCCTGTTACTTGATCTTCTGGAATACAAGTGCTCAACTTTCTGACCCCTCTGCCAAAGTGGCATCACGATCAATGAGAATACAGGCTGTGAAAGGGTTGTTCCATTTTCAACCGCTGTTTTCATTCCCAAAGGAAACTTCAGCCCCAGAGGAGGAATTCTGGGAAAGATACTAGGAAGTGAAAACAGCTTCTTAAACATGAGTGGCTTGCAACATCCAGCCTAGGATTGCTCTGCTAGGGGAGCCAGGATCCAGCAATCCCCTAATTGTGTTAAAACAATACTATCTACAATTTTTTTTAAATCTTACATTCTCTTTTCCTGGGTCTTAAAAGCTGGTTTTTTTAATTTCCAGAAAAACCTTTTGCAGACCATCTGCTAATGAGAAAACCCTTGGAGCAATAAGTCTTGTGACTAAAAGCATGAAAAAATATGCACAGTATTTTTCTCCCCAGGATTAGTTATATATCTTGTTAAACCTGATCTCGTCTTTGACAAGATACGTGAAGCAGCTGTTTTTACATGCTAAGTGAAGCCACAGCTTCCTATTCTCCAGCTTTTACATCTGCCTTATTGTTAACTGCTTCTCTTAGTAGTGTTATTTTGGAAGACATACATTTTAAAGTGTTTCAAAATAAAGATTAAGTCTTTAAAATTACATGTAGTTCAGTCATGGCTGAGGTTTCAGTCAGGGTTTCAGTTCCTATACAGTGTTTTCACAAAATGGTTGCACATATTCCTGAATGTTTTAATTTTTCAGAATGAAGACAGATTTCCAATTCAAAGAGTTATCTAACTCAATTTGCTTTATGTAAGCTCCCAAAGAATAGTCTGAGAAACCCTATTCAATTAAGAACATTTGGCTTTTTTATTTTACTAACTGTAAATCACAACATGTCTATAAATACCTAGTTGGAAGTTCAGGACCTAAGAGATCGCTAGGTTATGTAATTTAAAGGAAGCTTTATTTAGGCTCCCTGTTTTAGTTTAATCATAGCCTGGGATTTTTAAATCAGTGTTTATTATCTTACTTGAATGCTTGCATTGCCACCTCCCACACACTAAAAACAAAAAACCCCAAAAATGTCACTCACTTATAAAAATGTTGCATGCAAGAATGCTCCTGCGTGTGTGTTTCATTCACTTTATTTACTTTTTAAGGTGAAAATCCTTTGGCAGATGACCAAAGTAACCATGACATTAATTCAGTTGCTGGAGTACTGAAGCTCTATTTCCGAGGGCTGGAAAATCCTGTCTTTCCTAAGGAAAGATTTAATGATCTTATTTCTTGTATCAGTAAGTAGAAATCTCTGTTTCTTTCTCAATAGAATTTTACTTTCATATATACAGTAGCGGCCTGAAAAAAGAGCGAACTTCACAGATTTTTCTGAGACAATTTGTTTGCCATCTGTAACAGTCTGGGTCAGTTATTAGTCATACTCGGTACATACACAACCAGCTGTGGTTGTTCCCTTTTTCCAGTGGGATTAATGTACAGTACAACTCTTTGTTTCATAGGGCAGGAAGAATATCGTTCGGTATACAAGAGACAGTTAAATTTAAATGCATTATTATTTTCCTCCGTGCACTGGGGCAGACAGAAGGGGAGGAAGTCACGACTGTGCAAACAGAGTACGTTACTTTCGACAAAGGTTTTCATGCCCCGCAGCTTGGAGTCAGCACTGGTGAATAAGTAACTAACTGCTCGACGTTGTGAGGTTCTGGACCTTTATTGTGGTCAGCTTCAAACCCCCAATCCAACTGGCAGGAAAACCCTTCAGTGCAGGAACGGAGGAGAGCCACTGAGTGTTGTCTGCAGAAGAGCTCAGTCTGCCTTCCAACACAGAAGCATGACCAGGCTGTAATGGGATGCCTTGGGGGAGTGTTGCATGGGTCTGTGCACTGCTGGTGTTTGTAGCCGGATGCAGAGAGGTTGTAGTAATTTAGGAAGTTCTCAGTGGATGAATGAATTGCTCTGGCATGCACAAAACCTCTTCCAGTTCACAGATCCCTGCAGATGTTGAGGAGGGGTGAGGCCTAGCCAACTGTCAGTAGGCTTATTGTTCCCCGTGGGTCCATTAGAAGTGGTCAGAGGTGCTAGCTCTGTGGAAGAATTTCCTCCTTTCAACCCTTCCTTTGTAACTTGCCTGCTTCAGCCAAATGGAGAAAGAGGCAGTTTCACAGGTAACAAGGGCCAGTCCTTTGGGACATTGATTAGGGCTCTCTCCAAACTGTGTTATTTTGGCAAAGGGGTCTCAGCCCAGCAGGCAGAACCGCAGATCCATGTGTGCGCAGTCTCCTGGGCTGGCCATCAGATGGGCTTTTCTGCTCCCTGCCAGGGGAACCCAGCGTGTGTGGTTTCCTTCCCAGAAAGGGAGGATTGCAGTAATTCAGCCTGGAGGTTACAAGTACATGGATCACTGTGACCAGGTCTATGTGCAATATTTTGTGTTTCATTTTTTGTGGAGTTTTCTGGAGCTGTTGCTATTTACAGACTCAGTGGTACTGAGGAGTCCTGAAGGACCTCAAAACCGCAGTTTAACAGCCTGATCCCTGATGCTGAGGGGTACATTGTCTCTTTAGGAAGCATATTCTTGGTTCTGCCTGAGTTCAGCTTTAGCTAACTGCGGTGCCACAGCCCAGAAAATGTCTGTGAGTCATAGAAATTGAAATCTAAAAAGGGATCATTTTGACTGAGTGATTTTCTGCATGACAGGGATGATGGAACTTTACCTAATAATCCTGCACTGATTTCCATAACTTCTGGATGAATTAAAGCATGTCTGCTGGAAAAATTTATTGATTTAATGGCTTCAGTTGACAGAAAACCTACCACATTCTTGGATAAGCTGTTCGAATGATTAATCACTTTCATCGTTAAACATTTGTACCAGATTTCCTTTTCAAAATTTCTGCTGTCAGATTCTGCCCATTGGATCTCTTTATGACTTTATTATTTTGACTAAGCAGCAAGAAAAATAGAAATGGTGGTTCTTATATGTGGAGATGGTATTGCACTCTGCTGTGTTGAAAAGCTTTAAATAGAACTGTAAATTATCAAGAATGAGTATTCGGCTCGCAGAGATTATACAAGTGAGTACTTAGGAGATGCAAAAATATTTGCCCAAAACAACCTTTTAAATGTGTTCCAAGAAGAGGAACCTGGATGATTTCTAAGAGTTTCCGTTCACCATTGAAGCATCTCAAGACAGGATGGGGTATTTAGAAAGAGGGGTAGAAGTTCAGTGGACTGAGTTTGTGTACACGGCACCTGCACAGGCAGGAGAGATTCACCAACCTCTCAGAGCATCACTGTCTGAGAGGGATCCAGTTCAGTTATCCCAAAATGGTCTTTTGTTATTAAGAACTTCAAGGAAAATGGCAATGAATACTAGATCCCTAGCATTAGGCCTTGGTTTCCTTAGAGGATGTCCAACTATTGCATGTTCAAGGTAGGCAGCGGATTATTTTCTTGCAAAAGAGTTGGCAACCTGTTTTTTTAAAAAATAGTATCATCCAGCAGAGATTAAATCAGTCACAACCAATAGCCTGGAACAAAGTCACTGCTTTTCCCAGCCACATTTTTAAATGGGACAGTTATTGGGAAAGAGGTGTTGCCATCTAATCCTGGTTTAGACTGGCTGTTCTCTGAGGCTGTCGTAAATCTGGATTATCATCTCTACAACAGCTTGTCAAAATGAGGTGTAATGGCTGAGTAGTTCTGCTAGCTTTGATTTCCGCTATTGCTGTTACAGAAGAAAGCAGAGGATTTTCTTCCTGATAATGTGTTGTAAGAGTCCCAGATCTGTTTCTGGCAGGTTTTGGAGTAAGCCAGGGGAGGATGATTTTGTTGTTGTTTGGTTTGGTTTCCACAAGGTTATCTTCTGGGGCACTCTGAAATGGCATGTCAATGCCTTCCTTCATCAGAGGGAGGAGAGGTAAGTTTGAAACGTGGCAGGACAAAAGGGGTTTTCTCTTTGAGCACGTTGGGGTGGGTTTAGTTTGTGTTGTCGCGGTGTGGGTTTTGGATGTGGTGTAGGCAGAGAAAGAAACTTTCTTGTGCCTTGCACCCACAGCCAGCCCCAGAACCGCACGCTGAGAACTGCATCTTCTGATTATCTGAGAAGCCTGAGGTGGAGTGTTTTTGCAGCTGTGTACCTAGCCTATGCACTTCGTTAAGTGGCCCACTACTTCCAGGGAATAAGATGTTGGGGTTTTAAAAAAAAAAAAAACCAAGCATTTCAGAATATACTACCTGTCACAGTTTAGTTTAAATAGCAGCTATGTGATACATACTATCAAAAACTGTCTGTCTCAAAGACCCTTTCCATTGCTACCTTTTAACCTTAACGCTTTGTGTATCTTGCAGAAAGGAAGACACTCTAGGCAAGATTTTTCTCCCACTTCAGACTTTTAACTTGTCATAGTTGCATTAGTTTCTTTTTCTGTGCTCATGTGGCCTCACATATTAAATATGTTGGTCTTCATGTTAATGGGAGCAGGGCCAGACTCCCTTTCCTCTGTGAGAACACATTACTGTAACTTCTTTAGATTACAGTTGATATGTAAAGTCCAGAAAGCATTCACATTTTTAATGAAGAGGGTTTAAACACTCATAATTCATATTGCATTCACTATCTGATAAACAGCGAGAAAAGAAATAAACATTAAGTTGTTTTCAAATAGTTTTTTCCAAGATAAATGTCAGTGTGGTTTTTTTAATCGTTGGCAGAAATTGTTACAAAAGGGGAGAGGGAGAAAGCAAATTCATAAAGTTAATGTTCACATAAAACTGTAAAAGGGCAGAATGTCACACATTTTATATGGAAATGTAATGTTGCCAGTGAAAAACCCCTTGAAACTGAAGTACTTAGTTATGGATGTCAAGCGTAATTGAGGCTACAGCTGCAAAATGAACCTTTCCTCGGTACAGCCACTGAGGAATTCCTTTGCATTTATGCATATATTTCCAAATGAAATAGGGCATTGTGATTTAATGCTTTCCCTTTTGCAAATACAGTGGAACAGTGCAAAATGACTGTGACTTTTAGGGCAATTTGTATTAATTAGACTCATGAGAACAATGTTACCCTGTTTGGGTTTATGAACTGGTTTAGATAAAATTTGGGCCAAATTATGACTTCTCCAGAGCGAGCATGAAAGGTAGGACAGAACATAAAGAATCTGTCTGATTATGGGCCATAATCCTGCATTCTCAGCAAAAGGAATGGCTACCGTTGGTCCCAGCAGCACTCGGCAATCGAGAGGGTAAAATAAGGTGGGGGGGAAGGGAGGAGAGTTGCACTGTACTTGTTTTCTGCCCCTTTGTAGAAACAGGTTGGGCCAAACACAAGCAAAATATTTGTAACAGGATTTACCTGAAGGCAGAGGGTGCTGAAGCTGTGCTGAGGCCTGGCCATAATTCACCTTCACTGCTGGGGAACTGCAGTTCCTCTCCTGGTGTGACTTCTTATACACATGAATCACTTTTACATATATAGCTGTGCAATGCAGCAGCAGACACATCTCAGCCACCCAGACAGCTTAGCTTCTGCTCAGGTCATTATAATTCTTCTTGGTTTCATCTCCCTTGCCTTAAATTTGATATACTAAGATGCCAGGATGGATGAAAACTTACATCTTTTTTCCTTCTGATTTTCATCATTTCAGTCCCTTGCTGCCAGCAGTGTCCATTTACCTAAAGGCATAAATGTTATGGAAGGAAATTATTTTATTGCTTTTCCAGGCTATTGCCCATTACCTAAAAAGTAAAAAAACTATGTTCTGAATTGTCAACTCTTCCTGAAAAAGTTTCAGCAAAATGACAACTGTTTCCTTCCCCAAGTGACAGTGGAGACCATTATGTTTGTCCTCCAGTAATGCATTCTTAAATAGATCTGAAAGAGCTGTAAGTGGTATTGCTGAGTTAATATATACATATCTTTGAGTTGGATTGGACCCATCTACCAAAGTGGAAAGAGGCACAAATTGTTAACTTCGGCACTAATACCTATTCATGTAATTTACTTGTCAGCTGCAAGTTGACCATAGAAATTATATGTGCAAGTGTAACTCAATCCAATTTGACGTTCAGTGGGTGTGTAAAATACGCATTAGGCATTCACTCTGTTACTAGTAGGCACCACTTCAAGTGTAAGTAGCGAGTGACCCACACACAGAGATACCACATTGGATTTTGTCCTTCAAAACAGTGGTCCTAAAGGAGAGAGGTAGCTTACATTACCATTGTTTGCTTTCTTCTTCCTCCTTTGTGCTACCCTTGCCTGTGAAATATG